CCAGCTGTGCCTGAAGGAAACCAGATCTGTCCATAGACTTGCCAGGTAGGTGAGGCAATACATTCTATTTCTGCTTAAGTCATTGGAATCAGGATTTCTGTTACTGGCAATAAGAAGCATACTAACTGACACACCCCTTTATTTTGTCCAAGTCCCTGACTGGCCTGTGAGTATCTACAGCATAAACCAGTAGGGGTTCAATATGTGTCTGCTGGATGATGAACAAACCAATAAATAAACTTCTCCAAGAGCAGGAAGTCTAAGAGATATACTAAAAATAATATGTTATATGGTTCTAGAAAATGGAAAGAGGACCTGACCAATATAAATACAAGGTCATGAGCACAGATGAGCCAGGTCAAGGATCAAGAACAGTTTCAACAGGGTTGTTCTGTAGATTTGGGTCATCAGAGGTCAAGTTCCATTGGCTGAAACATAACATTCTGCACGTATGAAAAGATGTATTTTCAGGAAACTCAAAGATAAGAAAAATAAATAAATAAATAGAAAAGACATATTTAACTTGAGTAGTCTGAATTTGACTCCTGACCCAGTAGAACACCCCCGCCCACCTCTGCCAAATATGAGCTAAGAACTTCGGCATTCTGGGTTGGTTAGTAGGTCAGAGATCATAGAGTTGCGGGTGACCCGAGAGAGAGCATGTAAAGGTGAGACTGATAGGCAGATGAAGAGTCCAATTAAGGCTTCAATTTTAAGAGACGGGACAGAGAAGCAGAGTCCAACTCTAAGGCACTGGCCCAAACCCAGACTTTCTGATAGCCTCTTGCTGATGGAGGTGAAGGCTGGAGAGAGGTCATGAACTATGGGGACATGGCTCCACCATGCAGACAGGTAAATGGGAGATGAGGAAGGGAGAACACACTGACATGTGGGAATAGCCAGTAGATAAAGAAAGAGAAGAAGCTTGGCTGTAAAGCTGAACAGGAAGCAAGGTCAGGAAAGGTGCTTTAAGAATGGGTAGACAAATAAGAGGAAAACCACAAGAGGTTAGAAGATCCCTTGCCTATCCCCAAGTGTCAAAGATAATGAAATGATCAGTGCCATTTCTTGCAGGTAGTAGAGCTACAAAGATAGAAGCAGAGAAAAGATCTTCAGATTTGTTCAAGAGAAGAGTAATAGAAACCTCAGAGATGGCTATTGGACCAAAATACAGGGCAAGGGAAGAGTAAGCACGCTGTAGGAGAGGAGAGAGCAGGTGTCAGCCGGACAAGCCAAGAGGGCTGGGGAAAGGGTTTACAGAATGGAATGAACAATCTACATGTGAACATAAAGATCACTGAGAACAAACTGATAGTGAAGGAGGAAATAATCACATAGAAAAGGGTGAATACTTTCAATATTAGGAGAAAAGAGTAAGTACTAAAAGTATTTGGTTCATGAGATTGGTTTGGGAAAAGTTGTGCTTTCTGAGAATATGATAAAAGATAAAAATAGTGGCATGGAAAGTTTGCCCTCTTTTAGATAGTATTAACTTTTCAGCTCAGTGTGAAAAATACAGAGAAGCACAGAAAGAACACAATCCTTTTAATCTCACCAATCTTAACGTCTTCGTGCATTCTCTTCTAACTTCTGTCTTTGTATATATTTATATTCTAATATAAAATATGTTCACATATGCACATTTGCAATTGTGAGAGCTTATACATAACCTGAGTAAAGTTATTTTTAGTTACATTTGTTTTAAAAATATTTTTAAAAACCCCATGGTTTTTAATGACTGTATATATTTAATTCTATAGAGATCTCATAAGTAATTTAACCATTCTCTTGTTAATGGAAATGGTTCTTAATGGAAATGGTTATTTAGGCTGACTCCGTTTTTGTTATTCTAAATCATACTATTATGAACATCTTTGTGTATAAACTTGTGATCCCTAAAGTTTTAGTTTTGCATTAAATTATATTCCAGAGTTCTTGCTGAGTGAGAGGTTAGAAGAAGTAGCTTTGAGGATTTAAGGAAGTTGTGGGACGTTTAATAGAACAATCATTATGGATCCGGAATGCACCATGTGGTCTTTTTTTTCTTTGTTTTGTTGCTGTCTAGAATTTGTTTAAGCGATTTCCAGTGTATGAGCTGGGTTACAGGCAGGGCGCCTTCTCACAGCAGAAGTGAGACACTCCTTTCTAGGCCTCCTTGCAGCTAACAGATGGGCCAGTAACTTGGCCAGCTGTTTCTGCTCAGATCTGACCAGGAGCTAGTGGTACAGAGGAGCAAGGCTAGAGAAGACTCTGTCCCGGTAGCAAAGGTGCTGCTGGCCAGGGCCCAGCATCCGGTGTCGGTGGTGCCAGGTGCAATGTCCACTGTCCAGCAACAGTAGCAGCAGTGTCCCCTGAAACCAGCTCTGTGGCCATGGAATTCCAGTCAGGGTTCTAGCTGCTTAGCTCCCACTTTGTCCCTCTATATTTTCTAAGCCTGCTAAATTAACATTCCTGGTAATTCCGAGTTCTTGATAGCCTTCAATAAATCCTTTTTCTGTTTCAATCAGCCAGAGTAGATTTCCACAGTTTGCTATCAAGAACCCTAACTAGATGGGAGAAACAAAGATTTCAGAGCAGCAAAGTAGAGACAGAGGGGCCAGATCACATCGGAACAGTCACAGGATTTCCTCAGGCAGGGCTAAAAGCACTGGAGCATGGGCATGCAAATCAGACAGGGCAAAACATGGATGAGGACTGCACAGAAAAAGAGGCTGGGAGAGTGCTCCAGGGTATGGAAAAGATAAGCAAAAGGACTTATCTAAGACAGGAAGGCCAGAGCAGTGAAAAAACCCTCAGACAACGATGACAGAGAAGAATCTGAGAGTAATCAAGGGAGTAAGGAAGAAAATGCAGTTGGAGCCAGGTGGTGTATAACATGCGGAGGTCACAGTCAGGGAACAGGAAGGCCGGGGTGAAGCCTGGGAAAGGCAGTGCTGAACGTCAGCGACCGGTGGAGGTGGACAGCAGGAAGGAAAAGGATGTGCAGCAGATGGGGATGACGTATTTGCTTGGCTCACATGACGGTACATTGTATTACTTCTTTTATATGTTATATAATCATCTGAGAAGTAACAGTTAAACAGAAACATCTAAACATCAAGACCAACATTAATCGCCAAATAAATTCTAAACCCTCAAATCGCTGACTATTTATGAACCTCAAGGTCTTTCTCTTTCTGAGATGGAGTCTTGCTCTGTCTCCAGGCTGGAGTGCAATGGCATGATCCCAGCTCACTGCAACTTCTGCCTCCCTGGCTCAAGTGATTCCCCTGCCTCAGCCTCCCAAGTAGCTGGGACTACAGGCACGTGCCACCACACCTGGCTAGTTTTTTGTATTTTAGTAGAGACGGGGTTTCACCATGTTGGCCAGGATGGTCTCCATCTCCTGACCTCGTGATCCACCCACCTTAGCCTCCCAAAGTGCTGGGATTACAGGCGTGAGCAACCATGCCCGGCCAACCTCAAGGTCTCTTACAATTCTATTGCTAACAGAATTTTCAGAGATGTCATCATTGTGTATACAGCATTTTGGGGTCTGCTTTTCCACATATACAGCTACATCCATTCCATGTTTCTACACAGGCATGACTGCTTCGCTGTGTGAACGTACCACAGTCATCTAGCCACTTCCTGATTTCTCTTTACCAAGCATAGCGTTCATCTTTTTTTTTTTTTTTTGAGACGGAGTTTCATTCATGTTACCCAGGCTGGAGTGCAATGGCCTGATCTCGGCTCACCGCAACCTCTGCCTCCTGGGTTCAGGCAATTCTCCTGCCTCAGCCTCCTGAGT